CATGTCCCTTTGAGGAAGAGGGGAGCTGATAGTGTTACCCCTATTAAACTGTAATTGCTGCCCTAATAATGGTTAATACCTGATCTCAATTAGATGTAGGGATAGAAGATGAGTGTTCCATTGGAAAAGCTTAGTTATCTGTCAGGAAGCATTAGCTAGGATCTTCCGTCCCAACATCTGCTCAGAAATTACATTATCTTGAAGTTTCCTGACTAAATCGCCTAATTACTGATTAAAATTCTGATCTTTGTCAAATTTGGGCAAAGACATGAAGAAGAGTTTGCTTCAGAATGTAAAGACTTGAATTCTCACCCCTGTAGCCTTTAATCCACAGTTATTCATGGGTCAGTACTGTTTACTACAGGCAATTTCTCTCAGCTGTGACCTTGGGTTTAGGTGTGACCTTGGTTTTATAGCTCATAACTCCATCCCAGGCCTGGAGTTTCTCAAGGTCAGACCACATCTGTAAATCCATAAGACCTTATCTTATAAAGTGGGCTGCCTGCTGAAGGGTAAGGGAAGTCAGAAACCTTGAAATGATCATCAACTTTCGTACATGTATCTTTGTTCCAGTTAGTATGTGTACAAATTCGTCATGTACCTTGTTGATCATCATGTGAGTACGGATGTGTGTGTGTTTGTGCATTACTGCATGTGTGTATGATGGTGTCTGTGTATGTGTTTATATGTGTATGACCTATCCTCATATTTCAATGATATATAGACCAAGTGCATGTCGTTGAGATAGCAATGTTAGGTCAGATATACATGGTTAGAGAAACTATGTAAGATGTGGTGGGGGGTTCAGGTTCTGCAGACGTCCCGTAATCAACTACAGCTGGACGATATACATTTTCTCAAAAGACACAAAAAGATGTTTCCCAATATACTGCATGCAAAAATGAATTTTATGTGCCAGTGTATAGATCATCATGTCAAAACATGCAGCACTGTATTCAAGTTGAAAAGGATGGAAGCAGAACTAGTACTTAGCAACTAAATTTTGTGTTACCGAGGTGTTCAAAAACTCGTATTTCCCAAGAACTATATAGTAGAGTGGAAGTCGTTGCCACCAAGCACAGTTAGGGCATCATCACTAGAAAGCTTTAAATAACTACTGCAATTAAAAATACAAAGATTGTAACAAGTCGTTCAGTGTGATATAGCTAGATGCCGCCGTGCCGCATGCCTGCGTGATCTATCTCTCTCTCAGGCAAAAATTAATGCGCGTGCGGATGTCATCCATGAAATTAAGTCGGTGTGGCCTAATGTAGGGAACTTGCAGTTGGTGATGCTGAAATACTGAACTGTTTCAGCCCAGTTGTGGAATCTTCCCTCACATCTTATCACACTTCCTCCACTTCCTTTTCCATTGGAGTCCATGCTTTTCTTGACATCATGGTTGCTATGGCAATGCCACATTTTGTTGTTGTTCCTCAGCTTGTGAGTCAGTCTAAGAGGAAGACACGTAATTTTCCATTCAAGCAGATGTGGGGATGGAAAGTCATAGGATGACTAACATTTTGTATACCTGTCCTGTAACAGTTTTTTCTGAAAAATCAAACAGCAAGAAAATGTTGTAATTTTTCAATCTAACCTCTTTTCAGTGGAAAGTAACGTCTCAGTCTAGCGCAAAAACAGCTGTTGGTTGTCTCTGTAAGTTTTCCGTGAGTGCCCAGAGGTCAACTTTACAACCCTACAAAATGTAGGAGCTTGACCTTGACCACAAGGCCATGACCATGAAAACTTTAAACTTGCCCTAATGGTATTCTAATGTTTCCTGCAACAGGAAAGGACCAATTCCTTCAATATTTTCATGTTTACATCAGGAAAAGAGGTAATGTTGCATTTTCAGGCATTTGTCCTTGGAATCTCAGTCAATGACCTTCACCTGGGTACTGAGTAACCTTTTTGTACTCTTGTAGTTTGAGATTGTCCTTATATGGTTGTAAGTAGATGTCTGGGGTGACCATGGTTACCATGGTTTTCCTTCCTGTCCCCTTTGTTTGACAGAACCACACAGGGAGGAGGTAGAAACAGGTGCAGGTTAGATGCTGAGAAGGCTGAAATAGATGAAAGACATGTGATGCTATCCAATGAAATACAAGTAGCCTGACAAGTGACATACATTGTACATTAGCACTGGTACATCTACATGTACCTTCTTTGCTATTTTCTAAGTTACATAAGTCTCAGTGGTACATGGTCTTTCAAGGCAACAATTCGGAATTACAGTCATTTTATGTCACCCCAAACTTTGGCCCTAACCACTTTCTATATCAACACAGTTGATGAGTGCAGGGCATGTCCAAGGTGTTAACGATTTGTTGTCTTTGGTAATCTCGTTGTCAACAGTTTCACAGCTTGTTCTTGAAGAGGAAAAGAAAGAAGAAGGACATAAAAAACAAAAAAGAAACCAAAAAGGAAAGAAAGCTTAAAGAGAATCATGACAGAAAGCAGCAAAAGCAAAAAAAAATTTGGAGAGGATAGCCAAGATCATGACCACAAACATGTAACTAAGGTACAAAATGTGTCCTAGTTGTATGGCTCCGACTGAGTATTCTTTTCCCTCTAATTTTACAAAGATAACACATATTGAAAGCATCATTGCAGCTTGTATAGTGCACCTCATGTTTTCAATGGCCAAACCAACACTTCAAAGGCATTGGTGCAGGTGCATCTGGCCAGGGGGCTAAAGCAGGCCTAATGTGTTGTTGACACTAGTTTGGGGATCAAACATAAAGCCGCTGGACAGGATATTGTTCTGTAATGTAGATAGAATCCTTCTGACCTCCTGGACAACATGCCTGACCTTGTGGAGAATGATGGTGGGCTGGTCAGTCTCGAGGCAAGGTGCACGTGGTAGATGTTCTTGGCTTGTTTTACCACTCCTGCAGTTTAGATACATCCTGCATGGTGGTTCTTGACATGCAGGCTGTCAGAATAGTGTACAGTATACAATGTACGTATTGATTTAGCAAAACAGATGCTGGGAAGAAGAAAATAAAATTCTTATCATTCTGTGCATTCATTTTGCTTTCTGTCGTGTCTTTTTTTTTTTTTTTTTATAAATCATTCTTTTTATTGTTTCCAAAATTCACACAAAAGAAAGCATGGCACAACGAACAAAATAACTGAAACCACATGCGTAACAACAAGAAACTAAATAAAAACCAGTAAACAACACAGATGATACAATGTCTGTCGTGTCTTTGCTGAGAGAAATGTTACAGTCTATCCTCTTAATATCTGCTTGGAGGTTACTTATGTTACAACAAGTCTAAATACTCTAGACATGTCCAAAATGGTTGTTGCAACATCATAAGTGCCAAATTTTGGGTTTCAATTTAACTTTAGAGATTTAGATTCAATTTCAATTTTTATATAGAAAAATACATAGCAGACGAAAATACTCATGAAAACAAGTCAAGACTGCGAAGAGTGATTTTTATTCCAGAGCTTTTATTTCTTGTGCCTCAATAATAACATACTTGTAAAAAGTTTCAGTCCACAATATTATTATGCTATGACATTAGAAGAATTACAGGTCTGAATCTGTATCTCCACTTGATCAATATATATTGAGTCTCATATAAAGTCTGTAGGTTGTACATTAATTTTATTTCTTTATGTTGTGTGTAAGTTTGGATGATTTTATATATGCCTGTATCATGCTGTCAGTATACTGTCTCCTAGCCATGTATGACCTGCAGAGGGCTTGGTAGACTTCTTACTTGCACACATATATGACGAAATCAAGTTGAATGTACATCTGACAAAAGTAATATACTTGTTGTTGCAGTCTGTAAAAATTGGTTTCTGTATTGTACTAGGCAATATTGTACAAACTGAGTTACATACTGTACATACATAATGTACAATGTATGCATCTTGGATACTAACCAAGTATCCTACATGTAGGACTACAATTTTTGTGATAAGAGGGAGAAAGGACAGTACATTGTATAGGCACCTGCGATCATGTAGGCTTGATTCTCAGCCAAATTTTCTGAAGACTGGTTAGAGCCAAGCCATCACTATTTCTTCTACTGTCATATACAGCTTTCCTGGTGTATTGATCCTGTTGACTATATCCAATATATAACATTGTTTTTTTCATGATTTGTCAGCTGAGGAATGACGTATGGAATGAGCCAAGTGCTGAATCCACAGATTTCTATCAAACTCTACAAGTGATCTAGCCTGTACAAACAGTTAGATGGCTCTAGAAGGTACAGTTTAATTAGCGCTGCTACCAGGTCCCAATATTTGGCAGCCTGTGATGTTTGCTGCACGTATTTGCCAAGTAAGTAATGGCACATGCTGCCATTCAGGGTCTGTCCTTATCCAAACACAACTTTCTCTACTCTTCCTTTTCACACGTCTTGTCTCTGCAGACTGCACTGATCGAGCTACCAACCAGCAGTAACTCACCAATGGGGGCCTGCATGCCCTTTTCCGTAGAGCGTAAACGACCATTTAATTCCACGTAGAGCGTAGACGGACCGCTCTAATAACATAGAGCGTAATTTGCGCATTTCGTGTAGAGCGTATTCGCCGTTTTAATTCTACATAAAGCGTTGTAGCCACTTGGAATTTGTCGTATTGTAATCGAAATGTTTCAAGAATTCAGCGTAATACGTAGCCGGCTCTCAAAATGTAGCGTAAGGCGTTGTCGGGACCCCCCCCCCCCCCCCATGCAGGCCCCCACCAATAGATCCAAGGAATACATCACCACTATTATTTCTTGACACATACATTGTAATATCATATTTGATAGTGATGATGAATGTTATATTTCATCAGTGAATGGGATGATAAGGAAGCCTGTTAATGGTCCAAGTATTGTTAGAGGACATGAGAATGTTGATTTAAGTTCAACTTTCTTTCTTTACTTTTTCAAGGTTGACAACAATACAGATATTCACATGTACTTCCTGCACCTTTTTATAATCTTTTTTCAAGAGTCTATTATACAACCTTGAATATCATTAAAAAGTCATGGTTTAATATGATAGTCAGATTGACTGTATATAATAATATTGTGAAGAAATGTACATGTAGGTTAGATTATAATAACCCTTGTAAAGCACCAGGTTAATGTTTTCTTGTCTTTTCTTATCACCTTTTTACACAAACCTGCTGTGTCTTACAGTTTCTCTCTCTGGATAGGTACAGTATTTTTCCTTCAGTCTTTTCTCTATCCACTCCTTCTGCAGTGCAGTAGTCCCATGTTTATCATACGTTGGCATACACCATGTAGCCGCTAAACGTAATCCTGTTGTCGTGGAAACTGCGTGCGGCGTGGTGCGTACCTTCCTTCAGCTGGAGCCACACCTCGTCCCCGCGAATCAGCGTGAGCATCACGCTCTGGCTCTGCATGATGTTCCTCTCGTCGCTCTCCGCGTACAACGTGATCTGCTTCTGTCCGCTCTTCATCAGCGAAATCTCCACGTACTTGTGGTCGTACGTCTGTATGTTGAAGGAGAAGTAGTAGATCCCGGGAATCTGGCAGCGGAATTTCCCCGAACTCCCATCGAAGTCGCCACCGTCGTTCACAAAGACTTTGTCGAACTGGACCGGACTGGTTTCTATGGCGCCCATGAGGGAGGTCTGTCGTGCGACGGAGAAGGCTGAGCGGAGGATGGGGTTGGTTTGGACGTACCCGTTGGGGGCGTATCTGTTGTCGGTCATCCCGCAGCACCCCGGGCAGCCCAGCTGCTGGGTGGTCGGCTGGGCGAAGATGTGGGAGTCGGCAACGTTCAGCACCACCAGGAGGAGAAATGTACGCATCCTGCTGCCGGGGGGGTCCTGTGGATACGAGGAATAAATGTATATATTTTTAACTATTTTCATACCTGGGCTACAATTACGTTCGATACGGGTGTTCCGGTCCATGCTGTATGGCCCAGGTCCGGGGTTCTAGTTTTATACCAGTATCACACAGGCTTCTAAATGTTCCATAGAATAATTCAAATGCGTTTTGCACGAGTGTGCCGCTTTCAAAACTTCGAACACCGAATTCGGATGTTGGAATTGATGCTGTTACACTTTTTGTTTAGATACATGAAATTTTGGCACATTTCACATTGAAATGTCTGTTTTCTTTGGTGGGTATGACAAATAAAATGCTACACGGTGTATTCCAGCCCTCCTGCGAATCAGATCTCCCTCCGGCCTTCAGCCGTTGGGCGATCTGACCCACGGTCGGGCTGGTACCTCAGGCGATACGGAATACACATGTAGTAATTCTATAAGTACATTTATGTACATATGTATGTAGGGGAAAGGAGCTCCAGGAATTTCTTGAAAACTGCATAATAGATCAAAACTGCCAGGTCATTCCTGACAGATATAACGTTAGTGGTGATCGAGCATTAAATAAATTTTCTTCCTCAATATTCCTGGTATTCATTCCAGAGTGAAACAAATATATGGGTACTGTTATTAGATTTTTAACGTATACACAGCATGTTCTTACAACATTTATGACAGATGATATATTTCAGAATAATGTACCATACATGCATAACAATTATAAGATTTCCCTTTCTTTATACTGTAACTGACACTGGTGATATCATTATTCATGTACGACTCTAAGAATCTTATCTACATTTTGTGTACTGGATTAAGTACAATGTGCACAATTGAGAACTCCATTTGCTATGATATCAGGGCATCTCCAGTATGACTAATGTTAGTTGTTAAGTGACAGGTTCTTGTATGGACAGTAGGTGCCAGATGAGGGCTGCAGATTTTGGCTGACGTTTTCATTGAGAGGGTCAGATTCTGTCTGTGACCCACACATAACCCTGGAGAAGTGCTGTCTCTTGTCCGTGTCAATCATAGAGGCTAGTGCTGGTAGACTGTCCTACATGTAGTGTATTTTACATCTACATTTTACATCTTGCATTCACTACAGAATTGGTGCAAAAATTCAGAACTATTATAAAGGTTGGTGGAATAGTGACTATCTTTTCTGAATAAGTTTCACATTTAAAAGTTAAATTGGCAAAACGTTTCCAGACAATTTTACCATTTCATTATTGTATTGTGAAGATTTTCAGGGCAAGTGGATCCAAAAAGATAGCTTAACTTAATAGTATTATCATATATATATAATGATACATGTAGTATAATACACTAGTCTTCACAACTGTACTGTGTAGATGCAAATTTTCTGTAGTGTCACATTGAAGAACAAAATAAATATCAGGAAAGCAATTATTTCTAAGCTTAGATCACTCAGATTAAATCGCAAGCATTACTAAGGAATTGGACTTAAGTGCATCTAGCCACCGGCTTAACTCAAGTTACTTCTGCTGCCGTCTTTGACTCCAACCCGAGATATCCATCGTCAAAGTCGGAAGCCCTGCTGACAGTCCAAAGGCATTAGCCCAAAGCAACAGATGAAGATAAGATGTTGTTTAGACATCAGCATTCTGGTTATTCTACTTTGGTCTTGCTATGTGCTACTAATTTGAAACTAGACACCGTCCATATGCAGTGAAATAAATTTGATGGTTTGACTTCAAAAGTCTCCAGAAAATAGTATCTTTTCAGCTTTCTAGAAGTGTTTTGCCAAATATAGAGTGACTTTCATCATAAAATAATGATTATACCTTGAAATGTGCTAAAGATAATACCAGCCATAAGAAAGGATGTTAGGATCATTCTCAAGTCATTTCCAAGGGCGTAGGTCTGAAGGAGAAGCGTTGATGTCTAAGATGACATCAGCGTAAGCCAAGAAGGCAAAGATAAGATTGCGGTCTTACGTCCATCCGGTCTGGTACCAGCTTCATCGCAGCGAGAATCACCAGAATGTTCATCTCTGACAGGAGTGTCGCTTTAGTTTAACTCAGAATTCAGCTCTCCAAACGGAGTCCACTCCTGTGTGCCGTGACTGTCCGGCAAACTGTCCAGTAGTGTCCTGGCACCTCTGGCCGCTATCTGGAGGTGAGTAAACCAGGGCGTGTGGACCGCTGTCCTTTTTAGGATTCACACGAAACTGCCAACCCTCCAACGGTCAATATTGTGGCAGGAAAAGGAAACATTGTACTTTACGGGGCCATCCATGAGCTGCAGTGAACAAACGTAGCTGTTGTCCCAGGAGAAACATCAGCTTTTCAGCTTTGAAACCAGACCTGAACAGAAAGTTTGGGCACTCCTCTCAGAAATAAAAGGACGTATCTGATTGGCCCGCTAACGAGTGCTAATAATCCACTGCAAACAAAAGTAACAACTTTGTCAAGATGTCTGGGCCTTCAAGTGACTAATGAGATGAGAGGACATGCCTGTCACAGGCCAGTCAGTATCAGAATTAAAATTCTACACACACGTCCCAGTCATGAGATCTGTGGGAGAGAGAGATGCACAGGCATGGAGTGTTGATTAAAGTGCTTTTTAATTTCCTGTTTTAATTTGTGGACCAATCCATTTCTTGTTTACGCTTTGCAATTTGGTTTTCTGCCTTCTATAGGGAAGCTCTGACACTTGTTGTGAAAGTGAAGTGAAACACACAAAAATGAAATATACAACAACATATTTTGAGGCTGTATTTGTGTGAAAGTACCAAAAAAAAGAAAGACCAGAATTTAACCTGTCAAACTATCGTCCAAAAACTTTACAACATTTGGGCAAAAAATAATGAAATATAATGATCATTAAGATTAGTATTAGTCTGTGATCACAGAAGAAAACAAAAACCTGTACGTTGGTGTTTGAAGCCTTCCGAGTTGTCTGACACATACAAACTTCCCGTTGGCTAATGCTGTGAGTTTGTGAACTTGACTGGTTTGTTCTGCACTACTTGAACCAGAGGGACCTCCACACCATCCTAGTTATTCCAGGCTTCCCTCCACCGCACACTGATAACATGCCAGACAATGTTGGGTGTGTGTCCTTCAGACAACAGTGCTGATAGCAGAGTTAGGTAGGCACCAGCCAGGGAGACTTGTCATCTTGTGGTTAATTACTGAGAATTCTACTTTTATGTTACAATCTTACTTAGTGTGAGAAGCTTTGCCTTTTTTTACTAGTTCACCAGACAAATTTGTGTCAAAAAATGATGCTATAATTGTTCTTGATATTATTCATGAGTTCACTACCGGTACCGGTAATACAGCATCATGAAAGATTGACACTAACATTTCATAAAATTAAGAAGCATTTTATAGGATCAATAATAGGACTTAATACCAGTTGACTATAGAATTGAGAAGTAGCCTCCATTACCTTTTAATGTATAACAGTATACATAAGATATTATACTTTTTGCACGTTTTTCTTATATTCTTCATTCAGCATTTCAGGTGTCATCTTGAGCTCCATTTTTAAGAACAACAATTCCTATTAACATAAACTTTCTTATTTTTCTTTGCAATTGAAATGTCTTTGAAAAGGGGTCTAATTCCTTTACCGCTATGAAAATTTAAGGTAGTCACGCCAATAGTTATTTACAGTAATACTTATTATGATCAATATGATTTGGCTCCATGTACATACACGACTGTGTGAAACAAGCAGATTTACATTTTTCTACGTAATACAAGCTACTCTCTCACATTCACATACCTGTGGTTTCTACTGTGCACAAATCCAGATGTTCCAAGCTCCAAATACGTTCAGAACATCCGCGCTAACTGTTCATATATAGGACACGAGGTCTCCCACCCACTTTATACATAGCAATGGCATGAAGCCATTGGAAGTGCGTGTGTGCTTGGTTGTTTAGTGCACACTTATTATTGTTGCGTATTATGGCTTTTAGTGGTTGTTATGTCTGCATAACATACTAGCTCTGACTGCATTCTTAGAATGTCTTCGTTAAAGCTTGGTTCAATGAATTAACTCAGTTTCATGTAGTCTGAGGCAGAGTTATACATTTCTGCTAACTGTATGCATCATTCTTAAACTTTTAGTAAAATTACATATTATCTTACTGAAGGCATTATTCTTAGGCTCGTGATACATACGTGTACTATTCACGAATTGACAGAGTTGGCTGTCATTAGATGACCTACCTTGCCCATTGGATGAGGTAGATTCCGAGAGATTCCGAGGTTTTGGAGCGAACGTGCGGCACCGGATATCCCGCCGGTACTGAGGCATGCCTGTGGGTTCCACCGGGCAAAACCGGCTGGTGCTATATCCGTCAAAATGACCTCGTTGCCCTCGCAATCTCAAGTAATTATTCAAATTCAGTAAATACATGACAAGTTTTAAGACTCACACACACTTAAGTTGTTAAAAATATAACAATAAATCTACTCTAAGTTCTATATCATTTCATTCCAGCACTTAAGATGAATACTATTTTCGATGTAGTGTCCGCAAAGTGACAGCTAGAGAATTTGGTCATTGCAGATGTTTTATTGATTGTCTGCAAGACTATCCCCCCAAAATGGCACCTGAAATGGTACAGGCCGGCGGTCACCTTTGATCACTCATGCCCGGAACGTGCCATGTAGTGTCTGCGGGGGTGAGGAATGTGTCGTGTTGTGTCGTTAGCGGTGGCGTGGCCACAGTTCGTGATAAGCGAGGCACGCAAAACAATGGAAGGAATGCACGCTTGGAATAGAATTACAGGTTACCCATACACTATCTTTCCTTCACTTGTTACGACCAAGTCTTCACTTAGCTTTTAGTGACTCCTGCGTTCACTAAGACATCTCCTTCAGTGACAAGCCATTATATGTACCACAGGTAGACAGCTTGCCTCAGTACAAAAGGGTCAAGAGGCTACATGACTATTATTAGAACACTGTGGATATATATAAAGGTCCTCTGATATAGACAAGGCATGCGTGACATTTGGGCAGGCGGCAAGCTGCCTCGGTGTTCGGGCTATTTCCAGTTCCTCCCTGCTGTATAATGTCCACTTCTGTGCCCTGCTTATTTCTCCTGGGCATCGGGAGGTAGAGATAAGGCCACAGCAAGTAAATTTTATGGATGACATCCTCCGCAGACTCCAAATCTAATGCAAGCGGGCGAAAAAAACAAACAAGGCGGGCTGAAAAAAACAATTCCCACATTTTGAAATTTTGACTCAATCATTGTACAAATGGTTTTAGTTCAGTGGGAACATCACATATACACAGCCAACATCACAAATCACTGCATCAAAGTAAGAAACAAAACATTAAATCAGAGCCTTTTCTTGTTTCCTCTCTTCATAGTTATCTGCCATCCACCTTCCGGCATGGCAAGACATCTTTGCCCATTTTGGTCATGTTGACCACTGTCAGAATAAAGACAACAAAATTTCTTTTTTTCCTAAATCAGGCAAAATTAATACGCACGCTGATGTCATCCATAAAAATTACTGTGGCCTAAGGGTTACAGGCTAACAGTCATCAAAATGGAAGATATCCCCTGATATCCCATAATGCACTTAGCAGCACATACGTGGGCAGCTCTTATTTGCTGCTTGTGACTCGAAAAAAACAGATCCCCTTTTACAGCAGTTCTGATTAAGTGGAGTTTAAACATGTTTTCATGGCTTGGTTAGAAAAATGTATCAAATACTGTTGTAGAAAAGTTTTAATAAAGATACTATAACAGTTTATTTAATATATAGAAATCACAGTGCCTTATGATAATGAAAAGGGTTACATTGATACATTTAATTTACATGTACATGTAGGTATGGAACAGCATTGTGTGGTATTGCTTTAGTTGAGAAGAACTTTCTTTGATATGATGGATATGTGATATATATATTGTATTAGATCTGATTCTGCACCCCATTATGTGCAAGTGTACCAGTACATTTTGTACAGTGTACTTCTGGTTATACAAAATGTACATGATTGTGATATTTATAGATATGATTATATAATACCTGTCTGTGCTGTGTTCCCACAGGAGTGGGATGGGATGGTGAGGATAGCATTCCTCAGGAAGAACAAGACTCTGGGAGCAGCCTTCAAGTTAGTACACCTTACTAATCACTTCTTCCTCTATCCCAGGAGAGTCTACAGGACTTCAATAATACCTCTTAATTGTGTTAATATGAAAGATTAAAACTTAGTCTTTCCAAGGACGGTCTTTCCATACCCTCTCACTAAACTAAAATAAACTAACACATGGCATTTGCTGCATGTACAAACTTTCTATTTATATTCTATAAGATTCTTATGATGAAGCCCTGGTGAAACTTGTACATTTTTACACATCTTGAAAATGTATGCATCACAATGCGTGCTTTCTTTCATCTGCAGGAACTCCAAAGTTCTGAGTTTGTTGGAGAAGAACTACAGAATACACTGTTCTTTCAACAACATTGTAAGTGCCACCGGTCAGCTTTGTATGTTCAAGTAGAATTATAGGATGTACAGGTGATGAATGATGCTCTGATTGCCAATTAAAATTCCTAATGACATGGAATTTTTGCACCAGGATATTACTTTTCTCTTAGGACAGTTTGCGTATGTTAGAACAGATCGTGTATGTATGTCCCTAACATACTGTCAACATGTGAGACTACTGTTGTTCTTGGGAATGACACATCTCTTTGTCTTCATCAGCCCATCCCAGAAGACTTTGACATGAAACAGAAGGTAACAGACATCCTGGAGACCAACAGTTTGGACAAGAAGAGGGCGCGGTCCATGGACATTGATGACTTCTTAGGGTGAGCCACAATCTTTCATGGAGGGTTTTTTATCATTTACCAGCTAATATAGTACTCCTGTCAGTTTTGTGTTTCAAGTAGCTTTGTTGATATAACCAAAGTATTTTATGTAACTTCCCTGGCACAGAAAGGAGCATAGAAGTACAATATGCCAGTCCTGTATCTTAAAACATAATCCAGTGAACGACTGAAAATACTTTTCAATGGCCTCATTTTTTTTTATTAGTTTGATTCTTTTCATTATGTTAGAGTCTTTGTTCTATTCTTGGTTTCTTGAATGATATTTACATTTGAATGATAAACCAGAAGATGACAGATCTAGAGTTAGTCCTGTTTGTTCTGTTATTGCAGAGTTCTTCATGCCTTCAATTCTGCTGGGATCCACTTCAACTGAAGACATCACAGCTACACTTCAATCTGACATCCATTTTAGCATTATTACTATTTTTAGGCCTGATATTGGGGAAGAACTTTCAGTTCTAAATGTTGAAATTTACAGAGGTAAAGTTTTGTCAAATTTCTTCAGTCTGTTGTCGACGTAGGTGGTTCGTTTCTGCAGATTACAGAGATGCGTCTGTTCCTTGGTACCTCCTCTCCACGGAACTTGGACTCTTCTATCTTCAGGATCTCGTGGGTATAATCATAGCGGATGGCATCCCTGTAGGGGGGGATAAAATGTCCTAGATTTCAGAGACAATATGTATTATGTCACAACTGCCCTGTATTAAGTATTATTTTTCATAAGTTGAGCAAAATTAAAATGACAAAGAAACTGATCTCGAACCAGTTTAGCTCATTGAACAGCTACAACTCTTTCACTGATCGTGACAGAGATATGTACAGTATTTACAGGTTCATTGTACCTGGGAAATTCCCCTAGCTTTTTTCAAGAGGCACAATGAATAGTGGACCACGGTTTAACGTCCCATCCTAAGGACTGTGACCCTAAACAGTAGCATGCATGTTGGGTGAGCGACAACAGCCGGGATTCCAACTCCCAACCTCTTAGTCCAGAGACAGGATCGCTAACCACTGGACTACGCATCCAAAGAAAAGTAGTACGAGGTATATACTACATGTATTTAGATAGAAAGCTACATGTACATGTGCATGTACATACCTCATGATATACAGTGAGCGAGGTTTGAGTAGCACGTCTGCCACCCAGGCCTTGTTGTCGTTATGCACTAGTCTCATCACACAAGGAGACAACAGACTCAGGCCGGCTATGGCGTTACCTGCAAACTGGAACAGGGACTGACGTTAACCTTCTTCCAGCTGAGGCAGCCTTGTAGCATCAAACTTGTACTGTTTTAGGCCTTAGTGACTGTCTGACAATATGACTATGAGACAGGATAGAAAGATACAGTACTGTATATACAGTCAATGTGAAATGGGAAGGGATTATGAGTGAATATTTCATATTTTGCTATCAATGAAAGTTAAGATTTACATCAAATTTTTTAATTAAAGTGACTCAAACAATGTCAACAAACTGGAATTTTGAATGACTTGTTACAATATTGTGAGTTTTGTGTGTGTGTGTGTGTGTGTGTGCGTATGTGGATGCGTGTGTGTGTGGCAGAGTGTATGTATGATTGAGGGATTGTTGCACTGTTTAAGTCATACATTCAGACAGGTGGTCATATAGGTGGGACAGGTAAATGAAGTTCTCACCTTGACACTGTCGACGTGTGGTTTGATCCAGCCGTCCTTCGCCAAGTCCAGCACGTGAACCAGGTGCAGCTGCGGGACACCTGGAGGGAACGCTAGTCTCCGCACACGCTGGAGGATCGGCTGGCTCTGCTCCGACCAATCAGATCGCTCGATCTCTTTGTACCCATGGATGGCCTGAAATGAGATGTGCAAAGAAACATAGAAAGGTAAAATTTGCAAAGCAAATGCATAATGTTTACCTTCACATATGGTCTGCTCTGTTAATTCTTACTCGAACACATTCATATAACACATTCATATAACACATTCATAGAACACATTCATATAATTTGATGTAATATTTGTTATAGATATGGTGACACTAAATCCCTTCTGTAATAAAATTGTAACATTATTATTACACTAGTTACGTACTAGCACCATGGTGACAGACATCTGGTTCAGGTCATTGACCTTACTTGTTTGGAGAAGAAGAGGAAGAAGAAACAACAGAAGAGCAAAGGTAAACATACATTCACACAATTCATCAGTTATGTAAAATAACATTCATTTGCAGCATCACTATTTGCAAGGGACCATATGATATGAAGCATATAATTAAACACAAATTGCACATTTCTATCTTAAAGAATAACATCTAGTTAATTGTACTCTTGGGGGGAATAGAACAGAGCATTTTCTACCACTTATAATCATAATATAAAAGGACTCACATCGTCCCAATGGTCGTATTCATATCTGAGATGTCTTTTCAATTTCGGCTCCACCTCCTCGAACAGTATTTGTTCCTCCTCCTCTGTGATAAAGTTCTCGTGAACCAACATGTCTCTCTGACAAACCTGCACAACCTCAGGAACGTGGCAGTGAAGGTAAGAAAACTTGGAAAGTTCGTTCTGAAGAAGTTCAGCTGTGTCTGGCGTTTGTGTCGTCTGCTGGCGAGTGATCAAATATGTCACGATGGGGGGGCAGGACACAAAATCGGAGCGGTTTCTCCCAAATAAAACCATCGCACAGCGTTCTTGGGCATGCTTATATCTTATCAAAGTTCTTAGGAGCATAGTGCGCCGTTTCAGTAGTTACAAAACCTCAGGTTATGGCAGAGATCAACGTAAACTACAATTTTGATACTAGTACAAAGCCGGTTGCCTGTCGCTGTGTTTCTTGCGCCCAGTTATTGCTGCAATTCTAACTTTAGTTGATAGGGGTCGCCTTTTCCACGCGTTCTATCAAATCTCGCGAGAAGACAGAACGAGAATTGGAAGAGAACAGATCATTCATTACAACGGTGAGTCCGATTAGATATTATTTTTTATCTAAGGTTTAAAACATTTTATCAAATTTGACTGTACTATTATAATCATTTAGCAACTATTATATGTATTTCGATAACTTCGTTTTCTTATTTGTGTTTTTTTTTATGTAAAGAAGAAGTGTTCTAATTTTATGATCTACCTATTTTTGAATGGTATGGTCTGTTGTTGGGTGCGCGGCAACGAGCCAGACGACAACAACTAAGAGATCGGGTGACGGACAATCTGCAGTACTGAGTTCATTTGGATCAATTCTAGCAGTTTAAGGTGAGTTAAGTCGGTAAGATAATGTACGTATTTGCCCTCAAAACTGTAGGGAACGTCTAGAAGCATTTTCGTGCCAAAACATTAAGTATTCCTTGTGTTGTAGACTGTTTTCTTGCTGTTTAGTGAATCTTTAGTTGGTTCTCATACTCCTGGATTGGACGAACGTGTATCTCTCGTGTTGTAAGATAGTTTTAATAGTAAGTAAGTATTAAAGACTAGTACCATTAATGAGTACCAGCAATGTCCGTCCGCCTAGCCATCCCTTGGTCGTTACTAACGTGTTTAGTATATTATAAGACCCTTATAAATGTACCGTTAGTACTTGATAGAATTTGTTGAACTGGGTACTGTACATACATTTAGTAAGATTTATAGAAATAAAAAAGAGAGAGGCAGGCCATAGTATTGTTGTTTACTGCCTCTTGTTTAGTCGTTATTAAGGTAACTGATTGCCAAATGTTGTTATCCATTATTATGTAGTGTCAAGAGTGATACTATTTTCAACTTTCAACTATTTGGGAAGAACCCCACACACGTTAAAGAACCCACCGCAGTTACCAAAAAGAGTAGGGGTCTTTCCCCATGTGAGTGGTTCAAACCTTACAGTCCGGTCTTGTACTTACATGTAGAAAACTGGTGTGTCACGCCTGAAGGCAGTTTACCAGTTATGTGAAACAAACAAACAAACAAACAAACCATCTCTCTTTCTACTGATGCAGTTTCCAGCCAATCACCTGTCAGATCCAACCGTCACCATGGCGATCGCCGTAGCCCAGCAGCGGCACATGTTCGGCATGGCGTCCACGGTCGCCAACAACATCAGCTACGTGGACGAGCAGACCGTGGTCTACCCGGCGGGGTTACAGTGTATCCTGTACAACATCGACCAGAAGGCGCAGCGCTTCATCCCCGCGTCAGACAAGAGCCAGGGTAAGTGGGGTAATGTGGTGTAACGGCAGAGCGTTCAGAACCAAGAGGTCCCGGTTCAAACCCTGCCATGTCACTGATCTAGATCTTGTGCTCTTGAGGAAGGCACTTTCATGGATGGAGACCTGGCGAACCCCATCTTGTATTAGCTACAAAAGGCAGCAGAATCTTCAGCTAGTTGAAGGCGGCTGCCTCAAAATGAAAGAAGAAGAAGAAAGTGGGGTGGTCTTGGTGTGGTGGATAGAGGGAGTAAGAGAAGAATCGGAGGGCCTGGGGAGAAGCAGGGCCTGGACTTGAACCATATACTTCTCATCGTAGGCTCTCGCATGTAACCGAATTCAAATTTGACACAAAGAGGTGCCAGAACATATAGCACTGAGAGAAGATTCATAGAATGGTGTGAGATAAATAGAAATGTTTGAAGTGCAATCAATATTGTGGAAATATTGTTAATGTTTACTGTGGTGTGATATGCCATAGTTATGAAAACACAAGCTGTGAAATGAAATATGATTTGACGAGGCTCAATTCTGTATGTCAGTTCCATATGAAAATATATAAACATCCATCCAATATATCAACCATATCAAAATATGTAAACATCCATCCAATATATCAACCATATCAAAAATAAATAAACATCCATCCAATATATCAACCGTATCCATCCAACATATCATCTCCCCAGGTATGACCGCCATGGCCGTCAGCCCCAACAGAAGGTACGTGGCGATCGCGGAGAAAGGCGAGAAAGCCATGGTCACCATCTACGACCTGCACTCGCTACGCAAACGGAAAGTCCTGACGTCTCCCGACGTCCAATCAGCAGAGTTTGTCAGCCTGGCGTTCTCCCCGGATTCCAAGTACCTGATAGCACAGGTAAGATGAGAGATGTCTGTTTATGATACCTGATAGCACAGGTAAGGAGATAGTAGCCTCCACCAGGCCTTCCTATGTTGGTACATCCGGATCCTAGAATTTGGCAAAAAAAAAGGAAATAGTTGACCAGGAGAGTCCACGAGAGGGGTTAATTTTCCCCTCTACGTGAGCAAATGAATTCTACACTGACTAAACTCCCCTTTTTACTCTTTTTTTTTAACCCACATTGTTGGTGGAAAATAAGGAGACAGCATGGGAGAGATGTCAGTCTGTCCTTTCTGTGTTTCATTTTAATACATACATGTACATGGACTAGATGAAGATATAACTTAAGTAACATACATGTACTTCTTACAAGACAAACTCAGAATACATGAGATTGTGTATTTAGTTCTTAAGACTACATACTTGGTATGGTTGTTGGCAGAATAAGCAATGCATTTTGTAGTATCCGATGCATTAATTGACATGCACTGTACTTCCTTATTGGCAACACCTCGTGAGCGGAGCCTTTATTGAAGTTGTGATTTTTCCTCACCAGGGCGGCCGTCCAGACTGGGTCCTGGTGTACTGGACCTGGGAGAAGTCAAAGGTCATGGCTTTCACCAAGACAACCAATCAGACAGGGAACCCCATCTACCAGGTAGGAACACTTACTAATAACAAGAAAGGTCAGGGGTGGGAAAGAATTCATACGAATTTTACGGAATACATACGAATTTTACGGAATTCATACGAATTTTACGGAATACATACGATCCACTACTCAGAAACATACGAATTTTACGGAATACATACGATCCATTACCAGAAACATACGATCCTTACTTAATTTGGTGACCTGCGCCTGGATCACGTGACCTCCGCGGCAAATTCAAGATGTCGGACTCTACTCTAGCGAAGGATTGTGTATTTTCATTTCTTCATAGAATATCTTGGTTTTTAAGGACTTCAAGGGCTTATCCCGTCCTGCTAAACACCAGGAACCTCAACCTGCACTTATGTGGGCTTTCTTGGCGACATTTTAGTCTGTATTTTAAGCCAAATAGCAGGGCGAGACTGAGACTCGGTGATACAGGCGCCGGTCACCAAATTAGTAAGGTCCGTATGTTTCCGTGTAATGGATCGTATGTATTCCGTAAGGATCGTATGTTTCCGTGTAATGGATCGTATGTATTCCGTAAGGATCGTATGTTTCTGGTAATGGATCGTATGTATTCCGTAAAATTCGTATGTTTTCGAGTAGTGGATCGTACGTATCCCGTAAAATTCGTATGAATTCTGTAAAATTCGTATGTATTCCGTAAAATTCGTATGAATTCTTTCCCACCCCTGAAGGTAACATTTGCAAAGCAAATGCATAATGTTTACCTTCACATATGGTCTGCTCTATTAATTCTTACTCAAACACATTCATATATATGGCAATGGGAGTCTAAATCCCTCCTGCTATAAAATTGCAACATGATGTAACCCAACACTAGTTACCATGGTGACAGACCTCTGGTTGAGGTCATTGGCCTTATTTGCTTGGAGAATTACAGGAAGAAGAAACAGAGCAAAAACAATATGTTTTCCTTCTACAAAGGTAAACATGAGAAGAATATAAACAGTAACATACTAAACATTACAGAGAAAATAACAGTATTTGTTTCAAATCAAATACAATACAATTCTGAACTTATTCTGTTTCTCCCAGGTGACCTTTAACCCACAGGACAATACGCAGATCTGCGTGGTCGGAAACGGCATCTTCAAACTGTTCCGCTACAGTGAGGGGAACCTCAAACAGTTCGCCTTCCAGAAGACTGAGCCGCAGAACTACTTGTCACAGGTAGGGGGCACTGATGTTAAATTACCATAGATTTTGAAACAAAACCATTGTGGGAAAATTGTACTGGTTGCATGAATTATGATATTTCTGAGATAAATGCCTACGATACTAAGTTTTTTTCTACCATACACAATGCCTCCGTTTACAAGAATATGTCAGTAGAAGTTGACAGAAGATATTTCACTCAGGTGAAAATGAGTACCTACATGTAGCTTTGGTTAGTGACGTCCCTCGGATAGGACGTTAAACGAAGGTCCTGTGTTTGGGGAGAGCCACACCCTGCGCATGTTAAAGAACCCACCACACCTTTCTAAAAAGAGTAGGGGCATGCCCCAGTGTGCAATGGTACAAACACTACTATCTGATGATTCACTATGGACTCCAGGAAGAAATTTACACAAAAACAAACAAACAAACAAACAAATATTTATCCCCCAGGCGTGGGTATCAGACGAGCGCGTGATCGTGGGAACAGACAACGGCCGTCTGCTGCTGTTTGAGTCGGGTGAGATGAAGAGTGACTTCGCTGTCTCCATGGGAACACGGGAAGGTGACCGGTCCAGTCTGGGCAGTGTGACGGAGGGTTCGGGCGCGGCCGGCGGTCCCCCGCAGATCACCGCCGTGGCCGCGTACTCCAAGGGCTTTGCCTGCGCGGGAGGGGCTGGGACCGTCCACATCTACGAGAAAACTGAAGACGCCAAGGACTTCTACAAGAAAACCAGGGAGATCAGGGTAAAGACACGACTCAAAATCTAACATTTTGTCGTAAAGAAGTCACTGTGTTTGTTTTCAATAAATGGACAAAGCTAGAATATTTTTCTTATATTTACTTATTCCTGCTGTTAGCAGTAGAGATACTCTTTGAAATGAAAAACAGTAGCTGAAATTATC